TGGGTACCATAGTATCCCCAAACACTACTCACTTAGCTTGAGCCTTTTAAGTGGTCGTTAGGCGATATGTAGGGTTTAGGGATTAGGCTTTCGGGCTCAGGGTTTGGGGATTAGGGTTTGGGGTTAGGGTTTGGGGTTAAGGGTTTAGGGTTTGGAGTAGTGTGTAGGAGGTACTTAGTACTAAGGAGGTTGGGGTGTCTATTCTTAGGGGGGATTGGGGAGGCGAAGGGTTTGGGTTTCAGGTTGCACAATGAGGGTTCGGGCGAAGTGTTGTACAGTTTATGATGAGTGTTCATAAGCCCCAAGCATTCCAAACCTCTTTTTCGAGACCATTGCCTGATAGTGGCCTGGAGAATTGTCCGAGGACGTCGCGCCTGAGCAAGTCTGGAAATCACAGCTAATCTGTGTAGGGCTTACGGTTTGGACTTTTCGTTGCGAAAGAGGTTCGATGTCAAGCATATACGGTAGCTTCCCAAAACAGGGGGATCCCAACCATAATAGAGACTCCCCAAAAGGTACCCCTAAACCCTAAACTCTAAACCCTAATACCCTAAACCCTAAACCCGAAATAGAGGCTCCCCAAAAGGTACCCCTAATTTTGGGAAACCCCGATACAGGGGCTACGCAGGACTTCTCAGGACTGCACAGGGTCAACGATGGACGGTTCTGAAATTCAAGGTGTGGAATAGGTCAATCCCCCTTATAAAAAAAAAAAAAAAACACCTAAATGTGGAGATTATAGGGCCTTTATATACCTACAATAATACCTTGACCCTAAACACTAAACTAATCCCTAAACCCTAAATAGTCCCTTGTGGTACCCATTACGCGGTGGGCGATTGACAAAAAGTGTGGATATGCCTGCTGCACAGGATGCCAACAGGGCCTGAGCCTCAAACCCGAAACCCTAAACATTAAAGCCGTCAAGATTTAGGGTTTAGGATTTAGGGTTCAGGGTAAACCCCAAACCTTAAGCCCTAAACCCTAAGCCGTCAACCTGAAACACCGCTTGTCGGTTCAGTGGAATTATAGCCCAGTTAGAATTGGTACTTACACCCATGTTCATGGGCTTAGGAGGCCTTTTATGGGGTTTGGGGTCCAGTGTTTAGGTTCAGTTACAGCTGGGTTGTAATTAACTTGAACCTCCAAGTAGACCCCAACCTCTGAACCTCCCAAACTCTGTAGCTTACCGAGCGGTAGCAAGGAATAAGGGAATTCATTACAGGTTTAGGGTTTGGGGTTTAGGGTTTGGGGCGGGTAGGGAAGAACGGAATATAGTATATAAGGATAATATACGGATTGCATTCCCTTATTCCGTACTGTGAAGCTCTAGATGGTACTTTCCCAAAATTAGGGGTACCTTCTTGGGGGTCCCAATAAGAAGGATTGTAGTAATTGTAGTATTCTGGGGTCCATATTGGGGTCCACTTATTTTGGGAAACCTCAAAACGGTGACTACGGCGCACCTCGGCAGGCTCGATCAGGTCCATCCACAGCCTCGTAACCTTTCGAAACTTGCGACACGCAACTTGCTTGTGATTTGTAGGTAAATAATCCCGATGTTGTACTTCCTTATTCAGTGCTAATCCCTAGTAAGACAAAAATCTGGGCTTGGATCAAATGTCAGGCTTGTGGGTTTTCAGGATCTGGGGTCCAGGGTGCTACAGTTTAGGACCAGAATGACTTGGTGAAGCTCAAAACGACGCCAGCTTCTCCACATAATGCCCAAATGCTTCTTGGGGGAGTTATCCTCAATACATAAAAATCCTTTTTTGTCCCAGGTTTCACAAGGTACCCCGCCTTTGGGAAACACACAAAAACATCCCACAGAAAGGTGGGCGTGGAGGGTTGAGGCCGGCATCCTGGCAATAGAAGCCAAGCATTGGCATCTACAAGGGCTGTTTGAAATTTATTGCCCTGGCTTCAACCCTCAACCCAAACCCTAAATCCGAATGCCTGAGCCCTGACCCCCTCAACCCTGAACCCTCAATCCTAAACCCTAAATGCTTACCGCCTCCCTAGGCCCCAAGTCCTGATGCTCAAATTCTGTAAACACCGAAAAGCCGGGCATGAGGGGAACCCTCAAACCCCCAAAGCTCCTTAAACCCCCAAGCCCTGAGGGATAAAGGGGCACATAAGGACATGTAAGAGTATGTAGGCAAATACAAGGATATGATGGGGTATATACCCTTTAATTTAGGAACGAAAGCCGCGAAACCCTAAACCAGAATAACGTTCGTGTTCCAAGAGCATACAGACACACGCGCATCCATGCCCAAACGCTCAAATTCCCAAAGCCCCTCGAACCCCAACTTCAAATCCCCTAATTCGTCCCGAACCTCACATCCATCCCTAATCCTAGATCCATCCCAAACCTATGCCTTAAATCCTAAACCCAAATAAGCCCTAAACCCTAAACCCTAAATCCTACACCCAAATAAGCCTTACTTGGCCTTTGGCCAAGGGTTCTTCCGCACCTCGCAGGAGGTGCAGGCATCGGAAACCAGCCACCGAGGCCGTCGCTCCGATAGCTTGCCAAAGCTCACCTGGGTTGGTTGAAGGGGGGGACCCTAAACCCTAAACCGAGTTTAGGGCTCAGGGATTGGAGATGAGGGAGACACAGGTTTAGGGATGTAGGGTTTTGGGATTAAGGGTTGAAAGTTTTCGGGTGCAGGGTGTACGGGATTAACGAGGTTTCAGGGGTTTAAGGGATGGGGCGTGGGGTTTTTCGCTGGGTCCCAAAAAATGATTTCCGAGATATAGGGCATGGCGACAAACATGGAAATGACTATATGGTTTAAACATCGAGTAAGGCCTTGGGTTTTAAAGTGTGTGTGTGTGTGGTTGAGCCAAGCTTGCAGTCTCCTTTGTAACATAGTATAACCAAAAGGCGGATATACCCTTATTTTCTAAAGAGGCCTGTAGTATCCCAAAATAAGAGCTGTCTATTAGGGGATTAAAAGCTGAATGGAAACTCATGTTTGACTACACTTTCCCTGAACAAACCTAGGGCCTATGGTTGATGGATGAAATCTTGCACCACCTAGGGGCCCTAAACTAATTCCCAGGGCTTTAGGGACCTAAGGTGGTGCAAGATTTCCTCCTAAACCCTAAACCCTAAACCAACCCCAAAAGTAGGACCATAAGGATGACAAACCATTACAGGGGCCTTAACTATTGTTGATACGAGAAAGCTTGCATGAAGCTAGTGTCGTATGGGACCAGGCCGCCGAAGCTATAAGGGCCTCGGGTCCAGTAGGATTCTTAATACGCACCATATGGATCCTGTAATGGCGGCCTGGGGCATGTATACATTGGGATACCCTTATTTATGGATCTTTCACAGATGTCTGACTGATAAGATGCACTAGATGCTTAATGTAACTTGTTGATACCAAGAACTTCAAATTAATATTCGGTAGAACCGGATCATGACCTCGGTGTTTTCTTGACTGCTTAAGAGCGCTTGAACGATGTAATGCTGGGGTTCTGCCGGGATCAACCCCCAAAACAACTAAGAGAACGCATTTGAACACCGCAATGGTCAGCACAGTCACAACGGCCCCGGCTGTACTCGATGCCCTGGCACTCCTTCCAAAATTGGTAACTGTTCTCATTGAGAATGCTGCTCAGTCCTAGACACGAACCCGAAACCCTAAACCTGAACCCTCCTCTTCATGTACGAAACAAGAGGCATCCGCGCAAAACATTCACATACTTTACCTTAATCGTCCGACCGGGATGCACTTTGCATGGTTCACCATATCAGCCTTAATCTAAACTCCTAGTATCCCACTTAATAACCCCGAAAAGAATCCTCTATATGATCCCCTGTATAACCACACTTCAAGGAGTTTAACCTATGGTTCATATGCATATGGGGGATCTTCTAAAAGTCCCTGTCAGGAAGGGACTACTGAATGGGAATACCTTGACACTTCCTGAAACAGAGATTCGAATAAGAAGGGAACCGAACGTATGGCCATCAGGGGGAGAAGCATTTTGAACAACTAGCGTACAGCATGGGTCTCTCAAATGGGAGTGTATAACTATCATATGAAGCGTGACTATCTACCCGTGCTAAGGAGTTCTCGTAAATCACTGCCCTGAACGCAACGAAAAACAAAAGAAGGACACCGTCATGCTGGGCACCTATAACAAGGATTCTTAGCGTACAAAGAAACCCAAAATTTGGGACCCCACTCATTGTAATCTCCCTGGTGTTAAGAGGGAATGGGGGAATGGATGATGGGGATTATTATTGGGGATTATATAGGGACTACTATAGGGATCCAGTCCCCCATTCCCTACTAAGCACCAGGGAGTAACGTGGAGGGTCTTCCTCCGCAAGGTAGGGTTGGTAGTTATAGTCATGGCTTCACTGAAAAGACACAGCATTCTTACGCTTAGGGAGTAGGGATTTAGGGTGTAGTGCCAAACCCCTGACGCAGCCCTCACATCATCGCTGCTTTGGGTAAATGAACCAAGTAACGACAAATTACCGTAGCACAAAAGATCTAATCTTCCTCTCCACTGGGGACCATCGTACCCCAAAATCAACGCCTACTCACATGAGCTAATCTAAACTGATCGGAGGGGGTATATAGGGGATCATAGGGTAATGTCTAGGGATTGTTAAGAGGGATGCTAGGAGTATAGACAATGGCTCACATGATCAGCATGCTGTTAGGTCCTGGTTCAGGCATAGGTCTTGGCATTCGCGGAGCGAGCTCGCCGAGGCAATCCGGTAGTTCCTGGGCCCCCGGCATTACATCGGGGTTCTGTTGGGGTTATATTGGGTTCTAGCGTTTTAGGGTTTAGGGGTTTTCGGGCTTTCAGGCATTCTTCCTGCCCTGGAAGAGCCCCTGCAAAAACGTACTCGCAACTGAATGGGTTGTTCTCCCTAAACTCTTATCCCTAAACCGCCATGACAACTTAATGATGAGCCAGCTTCGAAGGGGCATTGTTGCCTCCAGCTCCACGGCACCTAGGGCGTTTCAGGGCTGAGATTTTGCTTCTCTTGTTGCGAGGCTAATGAGTGCCAGTTTTTAAATGCGCAACTAGAAGAATGGCTTCTTCTTGGTTGGCCTTTAAGGACCCTTGAAAAATATTCGTATAGATGGGTCCCTATAAAACCAAAAAGGAAAATGTCTAAGGAACCCAAAGGCCTACCAAGTCTTGGATGTTGCAGATGAGTTCAACTGCGGCTGGACATGGAACACGCCCCAAGACGTTCTCCCAATGTTTTTCAGATTTGAAACAACTCAATGTGAACAGTACTTTGCTATGTTCTAGCCGATTATATCCGTGGCTCTGTTTAGCTAAAATTCAATACAAATCCTAAACTGTAAGCAAAAAGCAGTCACAAGTAGGCCCGAAAAGTAATGCGGAATTCGGTTAAACACCCCCAATGAAGAAGGAACCTACGACTAATTGGAGGCTTACAGGGTATTCATTGCAGGAGAAGGGTTTACCAAAATCTTGTTGCAAAGCCTATGATTACAACCCATGTTCCAATCTCATTTGCCACTTTTTCCCTTTGACTTTCCATCGCTATCCGATTTGAAATTGTAAGTAGTGTAGTCATCTCACCCCAAGAACGAATAATCCCCATCAAAATAGGCCAACTACATGCAATGTGCAGGAAGGGAGTGCTATTACAAAAGTCGTCCGGGCACGCCCGGTCCACGCCGCCCTCAGCTGGGATGAAGCCACGGGTCATGGGCTCCACATAACCTGGAGACCGATATAACGATGCTTGGAAACGGATCTAAAAACGCTTTACTCTTAAAAGTCCATAAAGCGAGTTATATAGGGGATTATATAGGAAGCTACTATAGGGTTTATTTTGGGGGATACAAGGAGTTTAGACTATGGCTCATGTTACATGAGTTGGGTTTAATGGAGATTTCGGAAGGCTTCTCAGCATGGGCATACAGCGAGACTGCATTTCAGGATCCCTCGCGGAAGTTATCTATGCGATTTTGGGTAATAAGGTCATGCCAGGATGAACGAGAACGGCCCCACTTCATATTAGTCTTTAGAAGGAGAACAAGTGTAAGCGCAGTTCAACTGCCAAAACAATGAGGAGGCATAATGGTTCAGCTGTGTGGTAATGCTGTCTTTTCGTAGCGCATAGGCCTACACCCGTAACACGTGACACAGTGACACAGCGCCGTACTCCACCTGCAGATCCTATCGTCTGGATCAGAACAAATTCCTCGAAAACATGGGCCTTCACCCGGAGTCCCTGCAAGATCAAAAGCATTGAGCATGTCCCTTCGGGCGCCCTGGGAATCCTAAACCATGCGTCATCTCATCGGAACGAGGGCTGCAGACCAAAGCCCTCTTTAATTCCTTGTCAGCAGACCCCTGGGGCCACGTAGTCCCAGACAGAATCCTTCCATGGGAGCCCCCAGCAGACCGTAGTACCCAAGAAGCGGAGGCACTGGAAGCCGGATACGGAGGCTGTGGCCTGCATCAAGGGCTTCAAAGCTATGCATGTGGGTCGTTGTCAAAATTATGGGAACCCCAAATATTAGGTGCCGTATTATAATAGGGATCCAGAAAGGGACCATAATTTTGACAACCACTCATGTAAATCATGCCTTCAGACTATTTGAATGCCGCTACAAAGGGTAGCACGCAGTAAGTCAGCTTCCGTGCAAGAAGGATCCACCCTAAACCCTAAACCCCAAATCCTAAACCGTAAACCCTGAATCCCAAACCCTAAACCCTGAATCCCAAACCCTAAATCCTAAACCCTACATGTTAACTTCTGGCCTCCCTACTGGACACCCAAGCATGCACTCACCAAGCTTCCTGAGGAACCCTGTGCTTAAGGTTTAGGGCTTAGGGTGAAGGGTTAGGGTCTATGGTTTAGGAGGCACCCCGTGTACACCCAAACAAGGATCCTTACGTCGTGTACCTTTACAGCTAAGGCGTAAATGCTCAGGAGCGTCAGCCCCCAATTTCAGGTCTTCAAGCCTCAGCCTCTAAACGTTACCTAACAAAAAGCACAAAAGCACATGAGCTAAGTCTAAACTCATGGTGTCCCCCCTTTAAAAACCCTATAATACTCCATCATATAATCCCGCATATATCGCCCTTCAAAGAGCTTAGACTCTAATGTAACCCTTATAACCTCAACGCTAGCGAATGTAATCCCAAACCCCTTTATCTCCTTACATGTCCATATGCTGCAATTTAGATCCTACACCCTAAACCCTAAACCCAAAACAGCTTTATTTGAGGAGCATAAACCTCTAGATACCCTGCAGCTTGAGGGCCTGGATCTCTCGCACCCATACCTCGCAGCGGCCAGGGCGGAACTCGATGCCCTGACAATGGACCTCCTCGTCAATCACTCCTAGTTAGTTGAGTGGTAGGGTTGAGGGTTCAGACACTAGGGATGATACAGAATATGGCATGGTGGTAAGGTTTAGGGGTTCTGAATTTGGGGCTTTGACTTCAAGATTCTGGATTAGGGCTTCAATTTGACAAGGTAGTCAAAGGCTTATGCTTTACGGCTTACTGCGTAGGACGTAGGGGATGATCTGGTGGACTCCCGAACTCATCCCTCTCGTTGCCGCTGTGCCAAATGCACAAAGTGGAGTGACCCCTAAGCCCTAAACCCTTGATACCATGCCCTATACCCTAAACCATAACCCTCAAACCCCTAAGCTTCGACAATGGGAACAGGGCCCGTGCCACCAGCAGAGTTCTGGGATTCTTGCAGCCAGGGGATCAACCCTAAACCCTTAATCCTGAAACCTTAAAACCCCCAAACCCTTCAAACACCAAAAGCCCTAAACGCCTAAAAGCCTAAATTTCCACGACCCTGGTGCGCGCCAACCGGCTGAGTTGCAGCATGGCTTTTTTAGAAACGACAGCATGCACCATAATATACATTGCTTAAAAGGGTTATGTAAAGGGATTAAATAAGGACTACCATTGGGGATATTAAGGGGGATTCTAGTCGTATAAACTACGGTTCACGTGGCATGGAATTCAAGTCCATGTTGCATAAGTTTGATTCCTTCCAGCCCTGCTCACGTCGCTGTCGATGGTGGCGGAGGTGGTAATGCAGCCTGCCAAGTGCCTCCCTGAGCCCTTTCATGACCATGTCACGTGCTTGTAGATGTTGTAGTGAAAAAAGCTCTACAAGAAGGGTTTTCTCAAATGAGTCCTCGTACAGAAATTACGTATCCCGTTTTCCCTGCTTTGCAGGCATCCTCCGATCATTTTAGACAGTATCGGAATTAACCCACGCACTGAGGGTGAACCCCCTAGCATCCAATACGGCAACCCTATAGGTTAGGTGGACCCTCCACCCAGTAATAGTGACTATAAGGGATAATAGGGATTATATTAGGGTCCCATTATATTCTCATTTTACCACTATTACAGGGTGGGGGTCCTCCTAACCTATAGGTAAGGAGTGGGGGGGCTTAGGGTGTTGGTGTGTGGAATCCTCACAAATATTTGCCACGTATCATATATAAATTGGCAGAAAACTTTTTGAACCCTACAAGCCTACTATGGTTTAACCATCAGGCTGTTTTCCTTGTCGAACCCTGAGCATGCTGACTCCTTACGTGGGTTGCTTTCGAAGAACTTAAACGGGTAGTTCCCAAAATTAGTGGATACTCTCTGCTAGAATCTGGATTGTAGTATTTTGGGTTCTACATTGGGATCCTTTCTTGATGGAAACTACCAAATGAAGTTACCATAATATGTGTATATCGTAGATAATTGGATTCGATTCCTTATCATGGTACCTTAATTTGTAGCAGCAACCCACTTATTGGGGAGCTTCGTTTGCACAACAAGTACCTACACCTTCTGCTGCCGCCCTCATCCTGAAACTCATTAAGCCAATCATTAACGCATGTGTCCAAGTATCCAATAACTACGTACTTGGGTTTGGGGCAATAGTCGTTCTAGTACAGGTTTTGGGTAAGTATATGATTGTTAGGTACTTGGACCCTTAGGGTAAGTTTAAGCCCGTGCACAGCCTCTGTCAAACTTCCGGAATAAACAAATACCTTTGAACAATTCCGCAAGACCCCAATAGGCCTCAAATTCCGACTGCCACGCGAATTCAAGGAAACAACTCTTCACCATTTTCTTAGAGATGTACGGCATGCTGCAAATTTAAGCTCGCAGTCCAAGCTGTCCTTGTATCGGCCATGTCTGCCCTAAATCTCTGGAGCCCTAAACGGTCCTGGAAAGCCCTTACAAACAACAACTTTCGAAAGGAGATGAAAGAAGAGTGTTCGTTTAAACACCAAAACTTCTAAGCAGTTCCAGACATAGGGGAACCCCAATATAGATGCGCATCCAGCGAAATCCTTAACTCGGGGAACTCTAGCCTTAATTAGGCTCTAATCAGACTCAGACTCTAATCAAAATTCAAATCGAAAGTAACTGATTCGATCACGATCTGATTTTGACGGCTTCGATTGCAAAAAAAGGACACGCAGCAAGGTGGACAACGATCCGTTTTCCGTCAAGGCGAACGAACAGATGCACATGCTGAGCGGGAGAGAGACACAGAGAGAGACAGATATATATATATATATATATATACATATGAATATCCACTTAGATACATGTGTATTTGTAGACCTGTATGTATGTATGACCCTGACACCAAAGCCCAAGACCCCAAACATCCCAACCCATTAACGCCCAAAACCCTAAAAGCCCTGAACCCTGAGACTGCGCGCTGAACCCTGAATCCCAATCCCAAAAGTCTGCGTCTCCTCCAGGCACCGTGCCTGACAGTCCTCCAAGGTTTGCGCAACCTTCGAGGTGCCGTGGCGGTACTTAGCGTAAGGCTGAGGATGTAGGGCTTAGGAGCCACAATAATTCGAAAGGGGAGAGACAATTCTGCAAATCAAATGGAACGTGGCGCGGAATTTGGGCTACGACACCGATTCGTATATTGTGCCATAGACTAATGGGAATAATCGTGGTAATGTTTCCAGCAGGGGCTATCGGGATAGGAAAATTAAAGTCTTAAGAGCTAATTCTAAAGCCTACACCCAAAGCCCAGGGCTTGGGGCCTCTCAAATAGGGGCAGTTCCACCCCGAGGTTTTTTGGGGGGAGTATGAAGATATGAGCTACAATCTAAACTCCTTAAAGGGGGAGATATAAAGGGGACAACATAGGGAACTACCATAGGGTTTATAAAGGGGGATACTAGGAGTTTAGGCTATGGCTCATATCATGAGGATAACCTAGGGATGGCTTCCGCCCTATATCCTAAACCCCAGGTACTTCTAGGGATCCCTGAACCAGAAAACCTTAAAGTGGGTACTGTACTGCCATAATGAGGGGCCTCTCTCAAGTATGAACAACTTCACAAGCCTGAATACTTACCCGAAAATTCCTAACCTTATCTTTGGTTAGCTGGCAGTGAAGGAATGGAAGAGACAATTGTAACAAACCATAATGGCCTACCAACGGTCAGTAACTAGACCCTGAAACCTGAAACCCCTAAGGTAATCCCCAAACCCTCTTCCATTTAAAGAGGCCTCTGCAGTAGGTAGGGTTTAGGTTTAGGGTTTAAGGGTTTAGGGTACCCTAAACCCTAAACCCATTTTTCGTACACTCTCATACTCTAGACCTGCACCTTGCCCACCCAAACTAGTATGGAATCTATATACTATAGCAGTTTCCATTTTATTGTCCATTATTCCCATATAACTCCAATGTAACCCCAATATAACCCCAATATACTACAGTAGGTTCCATTGTGTTTTCCATTATCCCTATAATTTAGCCCTCGCACGAAAGGACAGTCGTCTTTATTCGGCCCCTACTCAGGTTCCATCTTAGATTCTAGGAGTATATTCTAGTCTGGCTTCCCTCACAGTAGGCGGGTGCAGAATCCTTGAAGAGCCAATCTAGGATTTGTCTGGTAGGCTCAGTGCGCGTTGAGGGCTGTAAGGATTAGAGTTTAGGTGCCATTGGTGAATGGCTTTGGGCTCGAAAGATTCATTTGCGGTCTTTCCTAACCACCCCCGGCCATTCTACCCCACCCCCAGTTCCCGCGAATCAAGAGCAACTAGCCCCAACTAGAGGTAGCACAGGCGGGTATAATTCATAGAGCTTGGGAAGAACCAGCGTGCTGCTTTAGATCTATTTTAAGGTTGAAACCAAGGGCCCCTAGTATGGGCCCTTAACCCTGAAATCCTTATATACCTACTACATACCCTATATGTACCAAAAAGAGTCCCTAGAATTCCCCCTAAAAGGCCCAAGGGCCCATACTAGGGGCCCATACTCCTAACTTTAGATATATTGCATGCCTCCTGGTAAGCTGAAGACTACCTTGCAGACTTGAGGGTTTTAGGGTTTTAGGGTTTAGGGGTTTAAGGGTTTAGGGTTAAGGGATTTAGGATTATAGGTTGGAGGGTTTGGCTTAATCTGTAGTCTCCTAAGACCTAGAATAAAAATATCATTTTAGATTTTTCCTTAGGGTTATACTAGAATACAAATTAATTCCTAAGGACAGTACAGAAATCTTTGCGGCAACCTTGCGGTAACCCCAAGAAACATGGAATCACAAAAAGGGCCCCAAAAAAGGCATCCGCAAATCCTACAAGTTCCCATGGCTTTATGGTTTTAGGGTTGAGGGTTTTGGGGTTTAGGTTTTCGGGTGTTAGGGTTCAAGGTTTAGGGTTTAGGGTTTTAGGGTGTAGGGTTTAAGGTTGAATTAGGGTACATGGACCTTGCTGAATTTGGTACTGGATATAGGGGGTGGACAAGAAAATGATAGACCCTAAATCCCAAACCCTAAGCCCTAATATACTCCCCTATATAATCCCCTAAATAGCCCCCCTTGAAGGAGTTTAGCCCCTAAACCCGAAACCCTATATAACCCCCTTTAAGGAGTTTAGCTGCTCGACGTGTAAAAAGATCCAGCCGGCCAATGTGAGATAACCCGACCGCCCAGTTCGCGCCCAATCATCGAACCAAAAGTCGATATGCTTTCTGGATCTTCTCCTGAGTGGCAGCTTTGCCACTCAAGCCCAAGGTTCTCAGTGTGCCCCCTCAGACCGTCGGCCGAGGCCTCGCAGAGAATCATCAAACCAAGAGTCGGTATGCCTTTCTGATTTGCGCTGGCGTGGCACAGCCAGCCAGGCCAAGCGTGGTGAGGTGGTTCTGCAAAGAGTCCTCGCAGAGGCACTCGTGCCCAAGATGTTTGCAGAACTCTGACCATGAAGAGCCGCATCGTACTTTTGAGGAACCTTCACGCCATGAACAAACTTTGCTTCATCAGGCGACGCGGAAAGGCTGCAAGTTGTTGCGCAAAACAGAAGTTCAAGTACCTATAGGCATCTCAACGCCCTAGACCCTAAACCCTAAACCTTACTCCCTGTATAACCCACGTTTTTGTGGATTTTAGACTAAAGCTCATTTAGGGTCTATGGCCCGCCGACCAAAAGTTGCTTTGTGGGCTCGGCTTGGCTAGCAGGAGCTTTAGGGTTTAGGGTTTGAGGGGTTAAGGGGTTTAGGGTGTTGAGTTTTAGGATTTAGGGTTTAGTGCTAAGGGCTTAGGGTTTAGGGTATCCATAGCAATAGTTACACGAGACTACAGAAGATTACCTGGACACAACTTGGGTTTAAACCAAACCCCTAACATTGTATATGACCCTCAAGATGCAAGGCCTCTTATCAAAGAGGGAAGTAGGGGAGTTTGAAAAGATAATATGTAAAAAGCACTATGCCCCAAAAGGAGGATATGATCTTACTCTATACTGGGTACAAAAACGTATCCCAAATAAACTGCTACTCACATGGTTTAGGGTTTAGGGTTGCGGCTGAGGACGACTTGAATCAGGGATGGACTCATGGTTGCTCATCACCATTCTGCTCAATTTTTGCCCAAACTGCCGTCAAACCCCGAAAGAAACCTACTGCTGATGCAGACCCTAAACCCCTTAACCCCTAAACCCTAAATAGTATGCTATAGCCCCAGAATTCTAAAGGTTGAAGGTACTTAGGGTCATGCAGGAATTTTAGCATACACGGTACTTTCACACTCTGTAAGGCGTCGGGCATCCTGCCTGACAGGTACCAAGACGCCATCCCTGAACCTTTGTATCTCCTACTAGGAGATCAAGGTTAAGGGTTTAGGGTTTAGATGGGTTTAGGGTTAATGGTAAACATCCGCTCATTATGTGACCCCTGAGTGCATCCCACCACTCCAGCCATAGTCACAGATAAACCTCCGAGATCCGCTCTTTCATCATCCCACATGAGTAGCGTTTTTTTTTTGTGGTTAACCCCAGTAAGATTATATTCCTTGTATAAAAAATACTATACCCCTAAAGGAGGATATAATCTTACTCTATAATGGGTACCATGGTATCCCCAAAATAAATGCTACTCACATACTCTCTAGATACTCCCTGTTTTCGGCACATACGTACTGAGTACTCATGGGACTCCGATCATGCCTTGACGTAGTAGTAGCTTGGCGAGTTGTCGGAAGAGTTCGCGCCACGGCAAGCCCGGTTCCTGAGCAAATTTGACCGTCGCATTCTCTGCTTAGCACGTAGGATTTAGGTTTTATGTATCTGATGCTGGGAAATCGTGAGGATCAACAGATTTCTCGACATGATATAACCCATAATAATCCCAGTGTCAATTTTTTTCCATTTTCTTCTCCATTGCTGGGTTATCATCCCTACACCCTAAATCCTAAACCCTAAACCCTAAATCCAAACCCCTAATTCCTAAATCCCTAAACCCTAAGCCTTAAATCCCCAATCCCTAATATACCTTAGGAGGACCCCCCACCCTGTAATAGTGACTATAAGGGAGAATAAGGATTATAATCGGGTCCTATTATATTCGTACTATACCACTATTACAGTGTGGGGGGGGTCCTCCTAAAACATACCCTTCAACCCTAAAACCCTAAAACCCTGAACCCTAAACCCTGGGGGTCCTCCTAAAATATACCCTAATATCACATTTCCTAGTACTCCCAAGAGCTGCCTGTTGGCAGATCTCGACAATGGCTCAGGAGGCAAACGCAACAGTGCTTAGGGTCAAGGGTGCAGGGGTTTGGGGGTTTAGGGTTTAGGATTTTGGGGTTTAGGGTTTTGGGGTTTAGGGTTTTGGGTTTTGGGGTTTAGGGTTTTGGGGTTTAGGGTTTTGGGGTTTAGGGGTAAGCCTTGCAATTGAAAGGGCCTTGTGGGGGGCGATGCTGGCTGGTTAAAGGATGCTCGTCTCCTAGACATAGCTGTGCTTAGCAGTAGCAATAATCATCTAGTGAAAGCAGTATTGAGCTTCGCAGTAGTAGTAATGATGGTAGTCGTAGTGGTGGTAGCAGGGACAGGAATCCTATCAATGAGAATTGTGCCTGCCCCAAACCCTAGACCTAAACCCTAAAACCTGAACCCTAAAACCCCAAACCCTATGCTTCAAGAAAACAAGCTTGTGACGCTGAGGCGGGCCATGGGCTTTCTGCACATTTGGCGGTGTCTGGGGCTTCGGGGCCCAGTCGTGGACTTCTTGGGATGAGGCTTTAGGGGTTTAGGGTGTAGGGTTTAGGATTGAAGATTTAGGGTTTAAGGTGTAGGGTCCATTTTCAGGATTCTGCAAATATAAATCCCAAACCATAAACCTGCTACAAGTCTAGTGTCGAATAGATGCCTTCCCCAAACACCCTGCATGCAGGTCCAGATCGAGAAGTGTACCGAGAAGCATTGCCACCGCCGGTGGCTCAAGGCACCGAGGGAAAAGGGTAGCTGTCCGTTGTTGGGGTGCCACTGTCGTCAGTTTTCTGGCGACAGTGGTAGCGGAGCCAGGTGAGCTCCTAGGACCTTAGAGAGGGCTCTGGCCTCCTTTAGTTCACTGCGCCGCTCCCCAATGGAAGATGCTGCTGCCACAACACCTGTGCCCGCAAGCACATCCTCGCAAGAGGCAGAAGAAGACGAAGCTCCTGAAGGCGAAGATGATGAAGATGATCCGTGGCGCCAGGCGACGCAAGGCCGCCAGCAGTGGCGCTCTAATCCGGACTTTGGTGAGTTCAATCGCTTTCGAGAGTTTCTTCGACACCAAGGGCAAGGTCGCTCGTGGAGAGCTCGGCGGGATCGATCTGAGGAAGACGAAGAAGAACCTGGGCAAGGCGACCGAAGCAACGCAGGGCCGCCGCCGACCTGGGACGGGAGCACAGCCTTTCGGGACTACCACATCCGTGCCAAGCTTTGGTTAGCCACGACAAAGGTGAAGCCAAAGGCGCGAGGCCCCATGCTCCTGAAGAACCTCACTGGGATCCCCTTCGATGACCTCAAGCATCTCGCTCAAGACGCTTCATGGATGGAAGACGGCGAGAATGGCGACAAGCTCCTGAAGATGATGGACACGAAAGAGCTCTACGGCGACGACGAGCGCGAAGACATGCTGAATAGCCTCATTAAAGTGACCTACACCCTCAGGCGTGAAAAAGGCGAAGCGAACAAAGCCTTTTTCCCACGCTGGGAGAATGCCATCCGCAAGCTTGAGCAGCACAAGGTCAAGTTGCCGGACGAATACGTCGGATTTCTCCTCATCATGGCATTGCAGCTTTCTGGTGATCAGATCAAGCTCCTCCTTAACTTCACACAAGGATCAATGAAGCCAAGAAGTGTCAAGGAATGGCTTCGAGTCCACGAGACCGAGTTTGACTGGAAGACTTCGACGAAAGGACCTGCTAAGCCACATGGCGCCATGCTTGCTGAGGAGTTCCTCGACGACGGCGAGGGCAACCCGGACCTTGAAGTGCTCATGAGCGCGATCGACGACCTCGAGGACAACGAGGACGACGAGGCCGACGATGGCGAGGTGATCGACGAGGACGACGCGAAGGAGATCCTGGCGGCAATGGTTAAAGACCATGGACGGCCCGGCGCACGACGCTCCTTTGTCCAGACCAACCTGGCCAAGAAGGACCGCCAGCTGGCGCGTGGATATGGAGTCAATCGAAGTGCCGGCTCCTCCAATCGTCCGAGTGGCTCCCAGTTTCGACCTGGCAGCCAGTACCGCCTCACCATCGAAGAGCTGAAACGGAAGACACGGTGCAATCACTGCAAGGAGGTGGGGCACTGGCACAAGGAGTGCCCGAAGAAGCATGGCACCAAGACCGTTGCCGGCTCCCAGGCCCCGAAGGAGATGAACTTTCTGGTCACCGAGTCCGAGGAAGCGCTCTTCTTGAACTACTTGGATTACATGGAGTTCCTGGATTCCGAGCACAGCAGCCGCAGCAGCAGCCGCCAAGCCGAGATGGAAGGCCAGAACCGACTTCGCCAGCACGAGCAGGCATACATGGACCGTGTGCATCCAGTTCTTTACGCTGAACATGTTGATTACATAGCCCCCGAAATTCAAGATGAGTATTGTGCAACCGTGGACACAGGTTGCCAACGTACAGCTGTCGGCAGTGACACCCTTCAGAAACTCATAGCAAGGCAGCCACCCGAACTTCAGGTGCAGTACAAGCCCGAAAGCCACTTCAAGTCAGTCAACGGCATCAGTAAGACTAGCCACGTTGCTTGTGTGCCGACTTCTTTGGGGAGGAAGGGTTGCATTCTCAGGCCAGCGATTTTCAGTGAAGGACAAAGTCGTGGAGCACCATTTTTATTGTCACTTCCCTTCCTCTTGTTTTGCAAGGCCACCTTGGTGCTCAACCCTGACTCGGGCTTGCGCATGATTCTTGGAAGGTTTGGGCATGAAACTCCCATGCACATAGGGCCAACTGGAGCGCTTCGGGTTCCACTAAATCAGTTCAGTGAGTCCATGCTCCAAAACTTGCAGTCAGCCATGGCAAAGTTTGAAGCGTCCCAGCCAAGAGATGATCAGGTTCATTTGGTCCAAGAGTGTGTGCCGGCTCCTTCCGACAATAGCCCTGTCTTGCCACCTGGTCATGCAGGGTCCCACGAGCAAGCGGTCCCGAGCAATGGGCGGCATCGACGACGGGTCCACTGGCAACCCGTTCTCCCTCCTCCAGGCTTGGCGCAGAATGGTGACCAAGCTGATCATGGTGGTGACGAATGCCGTGAGCCAGGTTGTGATGTACCAGATGGGCATCCGCAACCCCAGCCAGGTGATCACCAACCAGATTCACAAGATGATGGAAGCCATCTCCGTTCAGGAGTTGGTGGAGGTCCAGGAACACCTGGCCATGATCATCTTCGAGAAGCGGGCCATCGAGGAAGCGGAGATTTCCTCGACGACAAGCCTCGGCTCCTTCAAGCTTGTGGAGACCGAGGACCAGGAGACGCCGCCTCCTCTGTGCAATTGCAGCAAGACATGTGTCGTACTTCAAGTTCACATGCAGGGCCCGAACCATCAACGGCTGTTCTACCGGTGCCCCCTTTGGCGGGACACCCGTCAGCGCTGCACATTCTTTCAATGGTTGGTGGAGCAGCCAAGCTGGGGGTCGATGGAGAGCCGGTCACCGAGCAAGGTGGTGCCAGAAAATGCCAGAGCAACTCAGAAGATGTCGGCGGCGGATTGCCGGCATCCCAGGCACAACATGACCGGCACCAACGGCTACCAGATCCAGATGAACTGCTGTCAATGCAAGGCGGTGCTGTTCAAGAAGGATCGCAAGACCGACAGGGTGATCTTCAAGATGGCGGGCTTCGAACCGGAGCCGATCCCCGAGACAAGTGCGATCAAGGCGCCATCAACGGCACCAACGACAACCAGAAGTTCTCCGAAGACGACCGGCAACACACTTTTTCCGGATTCTCCGCCCCTTTCTCCAAGCAAGTCAGCCCGAGGCCGACGACCAATGGGCACCACGACGACCTCGGAGACTGCGAAGAATCTCGATGCCGAGTTCGAGGAGTTCCTTCAATGGAAGCGGTTCCAGGAATACAAGAAGGCGAGCAGCTCGAGCCGGGAGATCTAGCACAGAGCCGCAGGAAACAAGTTCCTCGGCGACAAATTATAAGTTCCCTTCGCCGGTACGAGGCGGCATGGACGGAGCTCTCTGCCTGCCTGGGTCCGGAATCGAATCAAGCCTTGACTTCGCTGAAAGAAAGGGTGCTTCAAGACATGCAGCGGCCTAGCAAACCACATCTTGCGTATTACACGGCATTCTTTAACATGTCTGAGAAACAGCTGAAGACCGTTGCCGAGATCTTTAATCCCAAGGTTTTCACTCCCAAAGCAGCCCGACATCAGCTTCATGCCGGCAGAGCTTTTGACATTGCACTAGGTCATGATTTGCTTGATCCTGCGGTGCAGCATTCGGTTATCACCTACTTGCAGCGCGAGAGGCCCGGACTTGTTCTCCTAGCCCCACCATGTGGTCCGTTCAGTCAGTTGCAGAACATGGGAAAGCAGCACAGACAGAACAATCCGCAATCATTGCAGAAGTACTTGAGCAGCCTTCGTCAAGGGAAGAAGCTTCTGCGTTTCGCCTGCAAAGTCTGTGAAACATGTGCTGCCACGGGTTCCACCTTCTTGCTGGAGCATCCCTGGGCTGCAAAATCATGGCAGGAACGATGCCTTCGGCGAGTTCAAGCCTTGCCTGGGGCCGTCCGAGTTCGATGTGACCAGTGCCAGTTTGGTTTGGTCGACCGTCGTGGGCAACCAGTTCAAAAGGCGACCGGGCTGGTCACCAACAATCATGGCATGGCACAGCAACTTGCCAAACGTTGTTCCCGAGAACATGGTCACAGCCACTTGGTTGGGAGCATCGATGGCGAGGCCAAGTCGCGGAGAGCTCAGGAGTATCCACCAGGATTTGTGCAAGCCATTCTTCGGAGTTACTCCCGGACCATTGGCAGAGCTCCTTCGGCGACCACGAGCGACGACGAGATCCACAACACGAGCTGGCGGACGAAGTCTACCACCAGGACGAGGAGGGCGACGCGAACCCCGAAGAACCACCTTGCCGGCAACTCAGCCCCGAGGACCTTGGCGTGTCAGAGGATCACCTTCGAGCAGGTGGCTGGAGGCAGATTGGAGAATCAGCCTGTTCCCGAGGCGACACAGCTTCCTGTTCTTGGAGAACAAGAAGGCGTCAACCCTCAGCAGTTCCCCTGGCGGAGCACCTGGTGCAAGGAAGGAGACCGGTGGCAACAAGTCGAGGACGAGATTCAATGGCGAAGCCTCGGACAACCTGAACGGACCATTCCTGGACGACCGTTGCTGGCCAGCGTCTTCTCCAAGAACCCAGAGGTCGAGGGCGGCCGAACCATGCGTCACTTTCCTGGCATGAAGCAGGTCACCCTCGAGAAGCTGGTCCGTCGAGCTCACGAAGGACTAGGACATCCGGAGACCAGCCGCTTTCTTCGCATCCTCCGACATGGGCGGGCTCCACAGGAAGTTCTCGACGTGGCTCGCAATCTGAAATGCTCCGTGTGCAGTTCGTATCGACTACCTGATCCACCACGACGGGCTGCCCCTCCCAAGGAGGACCTCCACGTGAATGATCTCGTTGGCATAGATACGGTCCACTTGCGCGACCCCAAAAACAATGTCATTCCTGCCATCAATGTTGTTTGTTGGAGCTCTCATTTTCAATTGGTTATTCCAATCAAATCTGAGACAGCTGAGAATGTCCGGACCGCGTATAGACAGTGGATACGCTTTTTTGGACCTCCCCGTCGGCTTTTAGTGGACTTAGGCACTGAGTACCAGGCCGAGTTTAAGCGACAAGCCGAACGTGACGGTTCAGAGATCATTCCTGGTCCTGTGGAGGCCCCACCAGCGGGGCCTCACTGAAAGAGCCGGCGGCTTATTCAAGAACATGCTGTGCAAGGCGATGGAGGACTATAGCTGCCAAGGCCAAGCCGAGTGGAGAGAGTTGGTCGACATTGTCTGCATGATGAGGAATCGTCTGCTCATGCGTGCCGGCTACTCACCGATCCAACGTGTCCTGGGATACAGTCCACGACTTCCTGGTGGTCTGATGACTGGTGGGGAGCAAGACTTCATGGTTGCCGACCTGGTCCACATCGGTGACGAGCCGGCCAGGAGGGCCATGAAGACGCGAAAGGCGGCCGCCGTAGCCTTTCACACGGCGGACTGCGAACGAGCACTTCGAGAAGCTACTCTCGCCGGACCCCGAAGGATCGCCAACTTCGAAGTGGGCCAGGCCGTTTACTTCTGGAGAAAAGGTGCGGGCACAACCAAGAAGATGAGGCAGTCATACTGGCATGGACCGGCTCGTGTCATCATGACTTCCCTGCCTTCAGCTGTGTGGATCGCCTACCAGAACACCGTGGTGAAAGCCGCTCCAGAACGAGTTCGTCCAGTCACCGAGGAGGAATCCTTGTCTATGTCAGGGTGGCTCTCTGGTATCACGAAGCTACGAGAAGACTTCGAGAAGATGCCGCGACGGAACTACCTCGACTTGACCAAGGACACCGACGAGATCGACGACGCTCACGACGAGGACGAGGTTGGCCCCGACATCGACGGCGAGATGGAACGAGAACCAGAACAACGAGGTGCCGAACCACTACGGCGAGTTCGGCAGAAGACCGCGAACTACAAGCAGGCGGAAGAGGCGCACGAGCGACCAAGGCCGGTCGAGCACGATGCCGAGATCCCAGCAGAAGAACCTCCACCGGCTGCGCGGGAGGATGAAATTCCCGAAGGGCTTCCTTGGCAACCGGAGCCAGCAGACGAGGCCGTGGAAGCACCGGAGGCTCCAATGCCACCGGACAACAAACGCGAGCTTGATGATGGCGAGCAGCCGCCGGAGAAGCGGACCCGCGTTGAACTCCTGGAGGTATACCACGCTCAGCTCCAAGCTCTGGCGCGCCAACGACAGAGGAAAGAAGCCACGGCCAAGGACTTCCAAGGGCGGGACGCCATGCGACTTCAGCGTGCCATACTCAAAGAAGTGAACAACAACCTGCAGACCGGAGCCTACCGCCTCCTCAGCCTCAAGGAGTCCGAGCAGGTTCTCAAGGAGAAGCCCGAGAAGGTCATGGAATCCCGGTATGTGCTTACCAAGAAGTCCCTGGAACCTGCTGACGTGGCTCAAGCTCAAGCCGAGGATCTGTTGCTCGAGGACAGAGACCATGGGCCCCACAAGGCCAAGTGCAGACACGTCATGAAGGGTTTTTCTGAACAGGCCGCTGTCGAGGTCGAGTGCACCACTCCACAGGTCTCCCGCGACTCCGTGATCTTTGTCACTCAGGTCTTGGCTTCAATGGGGTGGACTCCCGGCTTCCTCGACTTCACGCAGGCGTTCCACTCGGGCGACCAGATAGACCGCGAGCTTTACTGCTCCCAACCGAGAGAAGGAGTTCCTGGAGCCCATCCTCGGCAACTGCTGAAATTGCTCAAGACATGCTATGGGCTCACGGATGGGCCCCTGGCTTGGTACAAACATCTGGCCAGGCGTTTGGTCCAAGACTTTGGCTACAAGGCTTCCATGGCGGACCCGTGTGTTTTCCTCAAGCAGGAGATCCACGAGACAGGCAGCTCCACTTTGAGAGGAATCATCGGAGTTGCAACCGATGACCTTCTTCACGGAGGCGACTCAGAGCACTGGGCCGTCATCGAGAAGATTGCTCAGGAGTACAAGCTTGGCAAGAATCAGGTCGGGTTCGGCCGATTCACGGGCAAGGACATCAAGCTAGAGGAGGATGGTTCGATCACCATCAGCCAGGCCTTCTACGTCAAGGAGAAGGTTCCCAAGATCAAGCTGGCGAAGTCCCGAAAACAGCAGCGGTACTCCAAGTGCACCGCTCAGGAGATTGAGCAGCTCAGAAGCCAGCTTGGAGCCTTGTCATGGCTCGCCAAGGAGACCCGCTGCGACTTGGCAGGACGGGTTTCACTGCTGCAGCAATCCTTTCCCGAACCACGAGTGGCAGACCTCATCGAGGGCAACCGCATCGCCGAAGAGGCCTTCAAGCACAAAGACCTGGGCATTAAGGTGATGCCCATTCCATGGACGAACCTCCGTGTCTCCGTGGTAACCGACGCCGCCTGGGGCAACACCAAGGAGTTCATCTGGATCGAAGACCATCCTGATGATGTCTGGGAAGAGCATCCAGATCGATGGATTCGCTACCACAATCATCCTCGAAGAACTTCCTTCCACCCCGGCGCAGCACCTGGGGGCCCAGATCTTCACGAACTTCAAGCAGGCCGGGTCACCAAGCTTTGGGCCAATGACGAGGGGCAAGAGATCAACTATCAGACTGTTGAAGACGAATGGTGTGATTTTAAAGGAGTTCGGGTTCTTTCTGAGAAGCCTTGGACCGGGATGAGCGTTTTCATGAAGGGTCAGGGTAAGCAAGCCGTTCCTGCTACCAAAGTGCACAGTAGTCTTGTACAGCTCCAGAACTTGAGTAGTCAGGGTGGTCAAATCATTATCTATCATGATGCGGCCTTAGTTGATTCCCAAGAACCTTCCTTCACTACTGTTGCTGCCTGGAAGAGCTTTCGTCTTAAGCGGAAGGTTGTTGACACTTTGGGAAGGTCAAGCTTTGCAGGCCGGGATAGGTTCTGTGCACTGGCATCGTTTACTGTTTCTTGAAGCCTTTTATGGGATGATGTCAGCTGAAGACTGGCGAAGGGAGGCACAGAAGTTGCCTTTCATCGCGGCAGTAGACTCGAAGAGCCTTTTTGATGCTGCCAATAAGCTCTCTAGTCCCACGGCTTATGTAAGTGATAAGCGCACGGCCATTGACCTTTCCGTAATTAAAGCTGACATTTTGGAACAGCGGGCAAGATCCGCTGGATTGACACCAGGGCCATGATAGCCGACCCTCTTACTAAGGTTCATCAGGGTGATTATCTGCGGTATGTTATGTCTACTGGTTTGTGGTCGGTTGTTGAGGAAGGGGTGGCCCTTCAGAGAAAGGCCCTGGAGCGTCAAGGATCGTCAGCGATCCCTATGTTCTTTATCAGTGTTTGGGGAACACAAAGTGTGACCGGTGTCGAATAGATGCCTTCCCCAAACACCCTGCATGCAGGTCCAGATCGAGAAGTGTACCGAGAAGCATTGCCACCGCCGGTGGCTCAAGGCACCGAGGGAAAAGGGTAGCTGTCCGTTGTTGGGGTGCCACTGTCGTCAGTTTTCTGGCGACACTAGAGTTTTGGGTTTGGGGTTGGTAGGGGCTTGAACCATGGATCGACTCACGAACATCAACAGAAAAGATTCCCTAAGTCTCACCCCAATACAGTGATGCTCCTAGGCGTATAACAAAGCAATACTTGTTCATAATTTCCAGGAATTATACTTCCTAAGGAAACAAGAGCATGCTTTGAGAAGAGTAGACTTACTGGTTCTTAGAAGGAAGCCCTATGTATTTTCTATACAATCTGTTCCCTTTTTGCCTTTTTAACTGCGAAACCCTAAACCCTATACTGTACAGTAGAGAGTCATGCCAATCTGGGTGAAGGGGGTTGCAGGCGGAATGCCTGTGGTGGTCGTGGTTGTGGTCGTGGCTTCTTCGATGCACTCCTCAGCAGATTTCCCTAAACCCTAAACTCTTACGTATTTGCGGGGAATAAGCGAATATATGGAGCGCCAGGGTAAGAAGATCCCCCCAGATAGCCCTATTCTTGCTAATATTGTTACTACTCATCATGGCCCCTAGCGCCCCTACGGATTTTTTGATACCTGTAGTTGGAGTACAGGGAAACCCCAGAAAGATAGATAAGGGACTACAGTGCTAGGCAAATGTCAGGAAGTTACTGGAGGCTAGTATGGAATAAATGAATATACAGTATAGGGATTTAAGGTTTACATCGGGACTATACTCACTTATTCCACACCCTAAACCCTAAACCCCTAAACGCCTAAACCATAAACCCAAAACTCCAAAACCCTAAACCACTAAACCCCAACCCCTAAACCTTAAACCCTAAAGACCAGTAGGCTATCAAGGCAAGCTTGGCAAACGCTGGCATTTATCCCTTCTTCTAATCCTTTGGCAACTCTTGGCCGCTTTGAGCGGCTGATGGCGAAGGAGACTTCATGCTCAGGCGGCAAAGAAACTTTTGCAACAGGCGAGCTATAGTCTAAACCCCTAGGATCCCCCTTGATAACCCTCGGGATTATGTGGGGATTCTTGTCCTGCATTCCCTTCTAAGAACCAGCATGTAAAGTACTGAAGGGCATTACCCGGCTGTAACTTGGATAGTCTCGACCTAGGCATCAACAAAAGCAACAAGAATCATACACTGTCTCCATCTTCTCAGACTTGGGGTGCACCAGCGCGACGTGTGTCCAAACATCTCCCACCAGGCGCTCAATGCGGAGATCATCGACTTCATGGCGGTCTGACAGCAGCCGAACCTTTGGGCCATAAAGACGCGGGGCAATGCGCAAATTTCATGAAGGTATGGGATATGAGCTGTAGTCTACACTCCTTAAAGAAGGTTATATAAGAGTTTATATCGGGGAGCATTATAGGTGTTGTTAAGGGGGATACTAGGAATTCTAAGTCGCTTTGGGGTTTAAGCCGTTGCTAAACGATTAGATGTACTCAGGTCATGGAAAACCTGAATAAGTGCCAACAGAACTCCTTTGTGAGCCTTGTAAAGCTATAGTTAGGGTTCAGCGTTCAGGGTCCTTGTAAATCTATAGTAGGATCAAGCCATTAAACCCCAATTCTCATTGCATAGGCTACCCCTACATTAATCTTGTACCTGGACCCTGGATGTCCTTCCTTTTTTCGGCTCTGTCCTACAGATTTATAAGCCCTATACACTAAACCTTATATAGTGTATATGCCATAAAAGGTAGTACATCCAGGGTCAAGGTAAAGCTATAGTAGAATCAAACTCCAAATGTTATAGGGTTTAGGGTTTAGGGTTTAGGGTACGCTGAACGCCAACCCTGAGCCCTGAGTAGTAGTTTCTATTTTGTCTTCCAGTATCCCTATATGTCCCCTATAGCATACCCCTATAATGGCTGCCCATCCATTGAACTTTTCCAGCCTTGTTGACCACATAGGAGTGGTTGCAGCGCAGACCAAGATGGAAGTAGTCTGCAGTCTGCTTTCCTAGCTTCATAACCTAGACCCCCTACAGGATCCCAAAAAATGGAGCCCCCCCAAAACGGCTCCATTACTACATGAGCCATAGTCTAAACTCCTAGCATCCCCCTTAATATCCCCTAAGGTAGCCCCCTATCGAATCCCCTATATAACCCCCTTTAAGGAGTTTAGACTATAGCTTAGGTGGACCCCCCACCCTATAATAGTGACTATAAGGGATAATAGAGATTATATTAGGGTCCTCTTATATCCCTATTATACCACTATTACAGGGTGGGGGGTCCTCCTAAACTATAGCTCACATTGGGGAACCTGGGGGATTTTGAGGGTTTTTGGGATCCTTTAGGGGGTCTGGGTAGTTGAGCCTGCAGGGCTGAGGGTTTCAGGTAAGATTCCTAGAATGACTCACGCGGTTTAGGGTTTAGGGTTTAGGGTCTAGGATTTAGGGTTTAGGGTTTAGGATTTAGGATTTAGAATTTAGGGTTTAGGGCTTCAGAAAGTGTCGTGTAGTCCCAGAAGAGTCCCTGCAGCAACTCGTATAAGCCTGTAGCCCATTCCTGCATTCTCCATTAGGCAAGTCTTGTCATCCGATAGCCACAGTCAGACTACGTATGTTCCGTCTTTCCTGCTCAGGGCCAACAGTGCTGAAGTTGTTGGTACAATCAGAGTTTTGGCTATGCATAGTATAAGCTTGAGTCGAAACTCCCTTTAAGGAGTTTAGGCTGTAGCTCATATGACGTAACAGTCGGCTTTCTCCATTCCTTCATCTCGTAAAAAAACTTGCAAATCTTGACCCTGAACATGGCCGGAGGCCAACACCCTAACTTCCAACCCATAGAATTACCGCAAACTTCTCCAAACCTGAAACCCCAAACCCTAACCCTAAACCCTAAACCGCGGCAACCATAGAACCTAAATCCTAAGCCAAACAAAAACTTGCCAATTTTGACCCTACAGCCTGATTCCTCAAGCTTCAGCCCCCGAACCTAAATTCGAAGCTATACCCAAACCATAAGCCCTAAACCCTAGGCCCAAAAACCGAATCCCTAACCCTAAACCGTAAGCCCCAAGCCCTGAACCCTAAACCCTAAACCTCTTACCTATAGTATCTTACCTATAGTATTTAAAGCCAACCAAGCAAAGGCAGGCTGCGCCCTCCCCAGCCGGAATCCGGATCGCCGTCGAAGGCTCTCCTGGGTTTGAAACTGAATACATGAAAAGAAGGAAGTTGCGGTTTAGGGTTTAGGGTTTAGGGTTAGGAATTAGGGTTTCGGGTTTAAATTAGGATTTAGGGTTTAGGAGTTAAGGTTTAGGGTTAGGGACTACGGTTTGGCGAAATGTAGGGTTCAGGGTTTCGGGTGTTTAGGGGGTAATTCTAGTTTCAGTGACCCGTCTGTGACTAAAGCACTGACTGTGTAGTCCTCATTACAAAAATACTGGCGGTACTCACCAGGAAATGCCTGGACTAGTCATGTCGTGTGTACAGGGACCGTGACGAGCAGAAAGCATGCACGTAGATAACCCCCAGAAAACCTAAAACGTCAAATCCGAACCCCCTAAAGCAAGAAGCCATCAACTCCAAAAAAACCCGAATCCTAAGCCCTAAATCCTAAACTCGAACCCCAGAACCCTTAAACTCAAATTTTAACCCCAGAATAACCCCAATATAACCCCAATATTGCCCCAATATAACCCCAATATAGCCCTAATATTGCCCCAATATTACCCCAATATAACCCTAAGATTACCCCAATAACCCTAAGACCAACCCTAGCCTAAACGAGTCTCTCAGGAACGTATCGACCATTGTCATAATTGCCACTGCTCTCCGCATAGCAGTCTTGAAGCCAGTTCCCCCAATCCTTTAGCACCACAAGGATTGAGGGGCTTAGGAGTTAGGGTTTA